TCCATCCACACGCTAATGATACTCATGTACATGTAGGTAGCATTTATGCCTTGATTAGCTACAGACCAAGCAACAGTTTTAGAGACATTAAGTGGTTGTGTATAGGTACATGTGGTTTGTAACTGGATGTTCAAAGATAAATTGATGATTAACGATGCAAAGATTTTTTGGTCATTGGTATGAAGCAACAATTATCTAAAATTAATATCGATCATACAATCGTCGACAATAATTGCATCACTCCTGTCTCTTGTGTAAATAATCTAATAGCTTTTGGTTTTATGAAAATTGCAATAAATAAAAACTGCAATGCTTGTTTTTATCAGATGTATAACATTCACAGTATTCCGAAATATCATTCTCGCTGGGACACTCAAGCACTGGTTCACTCAACAGCCCTGTTGTACAGTGTTGTTCGGTGTGAAATATTAAAACTTCTGAGAGTATAAAATGCCACAGCTGGTGTGTTGTGAAATGAAATGTTGTCACATCACCCCAATTGTCAAAAATTTACATTAGTTACAAGTTAAATAGTACATCTGGTTTAAGATTGAAATTATTTTTAAATGCATCCATAAAATACTCTTGTTCGATTACATGTATGTGAGTCTTTAGGCTCATATTCTCTTACAGGTAGATCATCAAGTCAACTAAAGTTACAGGTTCCATTTTGCATGACCTCTAATAACTTTGGTGAGAGGGCATTTGCTGTGGCTGGTCCTCAGCTTTGGAACCAGTTACCCAATCACATTTGATGTCAAGAAACACTTTCTGGATTTAAACAGGAAGTGAAAACTTCTTTATTTAAGCAGGCATTTACGTAATTGTGTACCTACACGTCGTTAATTTGTTTTGATGTTTAATGTTTGGAATTTTCCTTATCTGTCCACTAAATTGTGATTGTACAAGTATATACATGTAGGTGCTATATTACTTCACAATTGTATTGTGTTGTAGTTTTTAGTTTAGTTTACTGTATGGTTTTAATTAAATGCTCATTAGAACATTTCTATGGATTTTGTACAATAACAATGACATTATTATTATTATTATTATAAGGGTCAAACCTGGTAAATTGAGCGGCTCTGATGGCATTTCTCAAAAAATCATCAAGAAATTTTAAGAGTTTAGTACTCCCATTTGTGACATTTTAAACTCTTCATACAATGAAGGTGTATTTCCACAGCAGTGGAAAAAAGCCAATGTTGTGCTGATACCAAAATCAAATCCACCTAGTGTCAACAAGTTATGCCCCATTTCACTCACTGATTGTTTTGTCAGAATTGCAGAGAGTTTTGTTACAAAATGGGTTCTGGATGACATCAATAGTAAGATTGACCATCACCAATTTGGTAACATTAGAAGTATAAGCACTGCTCATTATCTGGTTAGTCTCATTAACTCTTCATTTTCTGCATCAGGGCACGGGTAACAGGAGCAACGTTGGAACGGTGGTCCTGACGGACTTTTACAAAGTTTAACATGGTGGACCATAAATTGTTGATTAAAAAGTTCATTTACAATGTACTTGGGGTCCACAGATCCATCGTCCCATGGTTGTACGACTTTCTCAGCAACCGGATGCAGAGTGCTCATTATAATCAGACTCTGTCAACATAAAAAGATGCTTATCAGAGTTTTCCCACAAGGAACCAAACTGGGACCAATTGGGTTTCAGGCCATCGTTAGGGACGCTGTTGATGATGTTCCTTATACAGTGGAACGCTGCTATACTGAACACCGCTATACCGAACATTTGGTTGTACCGAACACCGTCCTTGGCTCCCAATATTTTGTGCACAGAACCTACCGAACACTATTCAGTTGCCGTTTGTAATTCCCGAACGTCAACATGATACAGCAGTCAGTGTTTTTTTTATGTTGGAAAGTGACAAGTGGCCATTATTTCCCCAAGGATTAGAAGAGAAAGCCACTAGTTGTCAATGGTATTCTATAGACACTGGTTTTGCGTCTCCGCATGTGGAAGAAAACTGCTCGTACGCGCACCGCAGCATTGCACTAACAATGGTCTAAAGAGGGCGCCGCTGATATGCAAATCAACTGAGATTTGCCACAGCATGCATCAGAGATTGATCCTGAGCAGAAGCTTCATGAGTTTTAGGATAAACTTGATATCATTTTTGTGACTCAAGATTAAATAAAAAACAAAAACAATTAACAGATACATTTCTAGAAACCTTAAACTGGAATGCAATGGCAAAACATCACGAAAGAGCCAACCATTGTATCACAAGAGGGTGCACTTCAGTTAGACAAGAGAGGGCGCTATTCAACATGCCAAAAAACATTCGGCAGTTAAATTTGCTATACTGCTGAACCAAACCAAAAATCGTTGAACATAGCACTTTTGAACCAAACCGAACCAAAAGTGGTCGGTTCAGACATTCGGCTTTAATATGGCATGGCATGGCACAAGGACGGCATGCAAAATAACATGAAAAAGAAGCAAACACAACAAAAAATGGATAACGAGTTGTGCTGCACCAGTGCTTGGCACATATGTGTGTACACACGCACTATCCGGTTCGTAAGTGTGACGTTACTTCAGTTTAAACCACGCCCACTGCACGTGTGCAATGCACATAGGGTTACCCAGTACATGCATTGATCGCCATTTACATGCAACCATGAAACAGGAAGTTAACGTCCAACTTCAGTGATCGTTCAATGGGAGCCTGATAATTGTGCCGTGTCTGCATTTGTGACGAAGTCACTTACAATGTACGAACCAGATAAATGTTCTGTACATGTACATACATGTATATATGTACACAGTAAACTTACGATGGACCCACATCACGCGATGGTTAAAAAAACCATGTGGTGAGAATTCACGAATAATCAACTGAGAACAAGCAAAGTACGACATTAATGCTGCACAATAATTCTAAATTCTCACTACATCCAATTGTGCTTATACATGTATACATGTATTCAGATTTAGCATTACATGTACAAATGGTTGCAGAAATGCAACCATTTGGTGGAATGCACCCCAAGGGTACTGGACACAGTCGAGAACGAACATGTACATGTACTGTATTTACAATCTGCCGGGAGTATGTACATGTACACATACATGTACATGTATGTGCGTGTACATGTGCATACTGCATAAAACGTACATGAACATAAACTGTTCATAATATGTTTTCTGACTCTTGGATTGTGAATAAAAACAAAACATTTTCACCAGGTAACCACTTTGTGTGTTTAATTTGCTTGAGTAGAGTTACTCATGAATATTCTGGAAATTCATAATTCCCATGGTCATTTATGATTACTCATCAACAATTAAATAACAGTCAGCACCGAGTGCACACTGTTATGAATAGAGTTGGAGCAGAAAACACTAGTGCCAAAAAAGAATGTTGAAATGTGGGGGTAGACGCGGACTAGTGAAAATGCTGGCAGACTAGTAAAAAGCCATCACTGCTGGTCCGGCTGGCAAGTGAGAAAAAAAGTTAAGGGCAAACCCTGCTTGCTAAACAAGGACAGTTTATCAATCCACTGGAAGCTGAAAACAGTGACCTGACTTGGAAATTGATCATCTACAACCTACCAAGGGCTTATTGAGTTCTGCAGTAAGAGTTACTATTGACAGTCTACCTATGCCAGATAATTTGGTGGTGTGCGGCAAAAAGCTGAGTGACAAGTGCAACTACTGTGAAGGAAGAGGATCTTCCTCAAACCACAAGCTAAATCTCAAGTTCCTGCATAGCATAGCATCTCAACTTATCGCACTGACCTGATTTTTATGGACACATACTAACTAGTACTCACATGGAAGATGAGGCAGAAACTGTATGTCCTTTCGACTTCCACACATAAAGAGCATACTTGTACATGTACAGGGACACTGACCCACATTTGATAGATGTACATGTACATGATCATGTACATGTCTCTATGTATCCACATAACAAAACCTTTCAAAAAGTCCCTCCCCCCCAAAAAAAGGTTAAGCTAACATCATTCCATCATTATTTGTGAAGCCAAAGAAGATGTTTCTGTTTATGGTAGGATTCATTTACACTGTACTGGTAGTTCAGGAAGTATCAAAAGTGTGCAGTGATGACAATCATGGCTGTTTGGGTGTTCATTTTCTACTTTTTTTTCCACAAAAGGTGTTATCAAGACACCGATATTTAACTGAAAAAAAATTCCACAACTTTGTTAGCAGAAAGTGGGGGTCTAGTACCTGGTAAACATGCATGTATGTAATTTTTGCAAACAAGGGAAAAAATGATGAATTTATTGTTTAATACAGAATCATTTGTATTTAATGATAATTCTATGGTTAATGGACAAACATCTCATCTTTCCATGAGGCAATCAAACAACGACGTGGTATTAACTAACTTACTTTTGCACCGCGTGAGATTTATACAGTACAAAATATGTTCAACATCTATGGAGTTTGCACCATTTCAAATGCCAAGGAATTTTACCTGACTGATTTTACTACCGGTGCATGCATCTTGCATCTTGACATCTTTTGTACCGGTATACATGTATGTGGTTTGTGTGAACCAATCATTTCGCTATACTGCAAATGGCACAAATGTTTTTATCTCATAAAAATCAACAGATTTAACTTTTCAAGGGACAATCAACCTGGTAAACATTGAATCTTCACTTAAAAGAAAGTTACAAGTGCCATCCGTCTTATATTTTAAACAACTGTCATTCTTGTGGGTCTGATAAAAGAAAAATGTCACACTCAATGTCCTTGCCTTGGGCACCTTTTCAAATGATATTCACACCAGTTTCCATCATTAATTGCAATAATATCACAAAGATTTAGCACCACTTTTCCCACCTTTTCAAACAGTTTTTGCAGAAGTTTCACATTTTTCCAAATCTCAACATGTGAACTGCAAAACCATTTTTGGCGAAACAAAACAGTTACAAAAATTGTGTCAATTTTTGAAAATTGTTGTAAACTGAGGAACACCAAGCTCCTATGATTGTATTACCTCTGTAATAAGACTTGGTGATGGCATCAAACTCTTCTTGGCCAGCAGTATCCCACAGCATTAATCGAACATCTTCTTCTTTTACCCTGCAAGATAAGAAAAGAAATGAACTTTTTCCTCAAAGTCTCTTTTTGAAAGTTCGGAATGAGAAATAAGAAAACTGCTGTTTGGGAATTTGTCCAAAAGGTCAAACTGCAGTTTAAAGGCAGTCCCATTTTAGGCTGACCTCAGTCAAAGGAACTGAAAAAAAGGCATTCTATGTTATATAAATTGCATACCAAATGGTTGAATCATGGTTGGACCTACAGACACCTTTAGCAATCCTGGCCAAGCTGCCACATCTGTTTTCTTGGGAGATTTTGATACACACGTACATGTACCCTATGTACTTTGTACAATATTTGTTGTATATGTACCTTGTACATAAATTAGATACATTTATGCTAGTCAAAAAGCAATGATCACGGCAGGTCCTTTCGAATAGGACTAGTAATTCAATGTTAGCACCCTCTGTTTCTCCATGGTTAGATTTTACAGGTCTCTTGCAAAGGCATTTATGCATTAAAAATCTGCAATAATGCACTTCATTTTTCTAAGTTTAATTAAAGTATCGGCTTTTCCATAAAAATGCTTATTACATGTATTCTCCCAAAAATCTAATGGGATTTTCTATTCTATTAAGAAATACTCATTTTTGATACCTACAAACGCATTTTCCAAATAATAATAACACTGACCATGATGTTTCCCTGCACGTCTCAAGGCTCTATTACAGAAACTTTGTAATTTTCGATATCTACAAATGCAGAATAGCACTGCAAAGTATTGAAATGGGGTGGAAAAGAGCAATATGTGAACCAGGAGAACAGCCACGACAAAGCATGCCTACAATGAAATAAAAATATTGAGAACCAGAGGTCAGTCAAGATATACCCATATCTTACGAGTCCAATATCTTATGAAGATGCAGCAACTACTTGTGGATTTCTGACTGATGATTATGCAGTTGTCTGGAGAGCTTGCCCACCCACCAGGCACTCAGCTTGGACAACATCTTTCAGGTAGCATCATGTGAAAGCTGATTGATTTTTCCTTCAAGGTGACAGTATAAAATCTGAAACAGCCACACCTACATGTAAAAAGAGAGCCCACGATGTTGGCATGCTTCATTTCTGATGGGCATGAATTTGAGCCTGATATGTATGCAACATCTGTGGCAACTGTAGGTGAGCCTCGCCTGCCTCAAACAGGGTATAGGGCTCTAGTGGGTCAAAGTCAAAACTTGGTGACCTCGAGGATGCATAGAATCAGCCTGAGTAGTATGGTGCAGTTGGGGAAGCTGGTGTTTCAGGCTGTGACCCAAATGGCTATTACTGGCAAGGGTGAGACGAGAAGGATGTTGGAACCTCCACAATCCACCTTGCAATAGTCAAAGCTGAGGCTGGGTGATGTGGATGAACTGTTTCAACAAACAGTTATGTGCCATCACCTCAAAGCTCTTTGGTGCGAGCAATGTAGAATTTTAGGATTTTAACAAGACACCCTCACTGGTTCTCCTGCATGCTAGAAAAGGATGTACGACTTTGAACAAAGATGTTGGGAAGAAAAAACTGAGTGATTGATTTCTAGTTAAGAATTTAGCCCAAGGGATAAGACATACAGCCCTTGGTTCACAGCGAAGGTGACTTCTTGCAACGGACAGGGTATGAAGTTCACCCTTTCGACATGCTGTGGAGGCCACCAGTAAGAAGGCCGCCGTCTTGACTGTGAAGTTATGAAGGGAAGAAGACATGGTGCGTTTGAAGAACAGTGCCAAGATGACAACCTGGAATAAGAGTCTGGGGGGGGTCATTCAACAAACATACTATTAATTACAGAGATGACAACCTTTTCATAATGGAAAAGTGTAATCCCATCACACGATACTGAATTACCTATGAGTTGTAGTTGAATTACCAGGTGAGTTGGGAGTTTATTCTAAAGGCCATGACAGTTAAGGTCCCCCCCCAAAAAAAGTAGTTCTGCTTCCAGTTTCTCAACCAACCCTAATTTTTCAGCACAATCCAAAAAATTTTATCGGCAAGTTAGAAAAACATTGAAAAAACAATATTACAAGTTCATCATTGCATTTGTTGGGGTGAGCGGTTGGTTTGACCTCGCTGGCTTCTAATGATATTCACACACCTTCAATGCATAAACTAAATGCCAAGGACACATTTTTGACACATGCATTAGAAGGCTGGCTCCAGTTGCACAGCCATATACACATTATGGATTTGTACCTTGGAGTTGGAAATTGTAAAATCTTAGCCTGGATCATACAGTCTTAATGGACTAAACAAACTGTAAAAATTACGCCTGAACTGTACTGCCCTTATGGCTGACCTGTGGCCATGAATGGTGGAGACTTGAAGCCCAAAATGGAAATGCTAGTGTAAAAAATCCGCAGTAACTACTATACATGTACATGTACAGTAGATGCAGAATGAGAATCAACAAATTTCTGCACACACCAATAAGTAGAGCTGTAAGCGTTCATCTCAAGCTTATGATCGTTATCATCTACTCCTGGCTCCCTCCAAAGGGCTTGCTGTTCTGAAAGATACATGTAGCTGGAAAGCTTCCAGGCAGTGAGATGAAGACTATTGGGGTCTGGATGGAGTATTTTGGAAGCTGTTTGTGCGAGAAGGTCTGGACGTTTTGAAAGGACAATGGATTGGTGAGTTCTGACTCAGCAATCAGATCCAGCAGCTGAGGAAACCAAGCCTGTCATACAATGGGGCAATCAGGATTATGTTGCATTTTTCCTGATAAATTCTGGCCAACACTTGAGGTAGCAGGGAAATTGGAGGGATGGCATACCCCAAGAATCCCTCCCAGCTGATGATGGTGATGTGTTTCCCATGCTTTGGGATGGGCATGCCAGGAGCAGAATGTTTTTAACTGGCAGTTCAGGTGAGAAGCAAACAGATCCATGTGTGAAGTTCTCAAGATACTGAAAATTTGCTGCACTCTTAAGCAATGAAGGGACCACTCATGGGAATCACTTGGCCCTTAGAAAGAGTATCCGCAATGACATTGTTCTTTCTTGATGGGTGGCTTGCCTGCAGAGTGATCCAATGGGGATGCATCAACTGAAGAGATAGCATCCTTCCGAGGAGAACAGTGATAAAGAAAGTGGAGCTGAAGTGGGCACATGTGCACAAAGCAGTAGGGTATGATGTCCGCCAAGTTCGCCATGAAGCCAAGAAGCGAAGCCATACATGTACCCGAGCTGGGAGGCATAGATTTGCCAGGAAAAGGTGAACACATTCTTCAAGGGCTAAGCAGTGTTCCATGTAGGAGGATGCCATGCAAGCCTGCATGTTGAGAAAAGACCCGAGGAAGGTAGGGTGCTGCGAGAAGACCAAAGAGGACTTTTTGCAGTTGATAACAAAACCCAGGGTCAAGGTGAGCTGCATGATCTTTGACAAAGCTTGGATACCTGCAAGACGAGTCTATGATCAGCAAATCGTCCAGATAAACATATATCTGAAAGTGCTGACAGCAAAGGGCTGCAGCCAGCACTCTGGCGATCCTTGTGAAGACCCAAAGGGCTGTGGATAGGACCACGAAAAGGTTGCAAAACTGGTATCTAGTGTTTCCATAAATGAACTGAAGAACTTCTGATGTTCCCAGAGAATGGGAATGTGAAGGTACATATAAGCATCATTCAGGTCAAAAGACGCAGCCTACCAGCCCTAAAGAAGTGAATGTAGAACTGTAGCCAGGGTATCCATGTAAAAGTGTTTTGGACAAATGAAAGGATTGAGAGGGCAGAGATTGATGATGTGATAGTAATCACCAAGACTTCTTTCTTTGAAGTCAGGAGAAAAGTCAATGTGAAGCCCTCTGTTGGGATTAAAAGGGATGGCGCTCTTTAGTAGTAGTGACACAATCTCTTTCGTCAAAGAAGTCTGGTGCACTTGTTCACGAGGAACTGGTGTGGACCGTCAAGGTAGTTTGCCAAGATTTGGAGGTAAGCTGGTAAACTCCAATATAAAAACACAATATTTTTACAATAAACATGCCAATTTCGGTCACCTTTTAACTATAATTAGTGATTCACACTGAATTTTTTCTTTTGGAGAAAAAAATCCATTACATTGAAAATTACCTGACTGAGTACAAGTTTCCACAAAACTCATTTTCCCCCAAAAGAGAGTTACGACCTTGTTGCACTGACACAATAATTTTTGGTTTGAACTTGTGGGTTACATTTGTGACTGACACTTTTGGAGTACATTTACGGTTGACTTTTAAAGGTCAACCACCTTTACCGTATGTATTGCTCCCCAGCAAAAAATGCAGTGTCCACATGATTAATGAAACAGGGCACTGTTTGGCTTACTGATAAACTAAGCACCTTCAAAGTACCTGATTCCTTCTCCTCAGACCTCTTGTTGAGTGCCACTTCTAAATGCCATTGCACACATGTGACAATGCACGTGTTCTGACCATGATTGTATCTACTTGTAACTCTTGGAATTTAGAGGTGGGGCAGTGCACGAGTTACATGTACAAGCTTGGATCGCTCACATCAGGTGGGAGGAATCTGGAATTCTTTGCATTCAGATTGGAGGCCTAGTGGGGCCAAGAAATCAGCCCCTTCATTTTCTGGTGAGCACTTTTGTAACTTATATTGGCCTTATTTAACTAGATGTGACTAATACACCTCACTTTTGGGTCAGGGCATTACTGATTAGTGACCAGGAACCTTAAGGTTATACTGGTGCAATTAAGTACATATTTTTAAACATTCAAAGTTCTACTTACTGAATTTGTCTTTCGAGAAAGTCAACTCCGATGGTTTTTTTGTAATCTTTGGTAAAGATGCCTTTGCAGTAACGCTGGATCATGCTGGATTTCCCCACTGCTCCATTGCCAACAATAACTACCTGTAGAATATCATCAAAATCATTACTGACAAGCATATATTTGCTGGTTTCAATTTGAAAGTTCTTTCTTGTAAAAAATCACATGAAATAGTTCTTTGTCCACACATTCCCTAGGTGTTTAGGCATTACAACATGACGTGCATTGGACAACAACAGCAAAATGGCAGAATCCAAAACTGTTTTAACACTTACAAGTACATGTATACATGTACAGGTTATTAGAACTTCAAAGCAGAACATGTGTAGTGCTTGAAAATAAAGGTGTACATGTACAGATTCTCACTGTCCATGTTGCAATTTAAATTTCTCTGATACAAAATAAAAGTAGGTGCTTTTGTCCTTGTCAATTCCTTTCCAACATTTTCATTTGCACAAGAAAGTGTAGTTTTGTACTTATCACCATTTTACCAAAATGTACAAGCATAAGAATTAAAGTGTTTTCTGAAATTAACAGAGATACAGATTTCTAGAAAGGAAACATAAAATTGATTCATAAATACCTCAGACTGTCTCCCTATTCAACAACGTACAACTTGACTGTACGTTAGCATTTGATAATGCCCATTGGGAAATAATAATACCCACTACTTTAAACATGCGCTGTTACCTGGATACAAGACAGTTTACTCCATCCCTTATAGTAATGAGTCCGAGTGCAACGCAAGAAGGAAAATGCACCATGCATGCACCAAGTCCATATACACAGGTACAAGGAAATTCTATTGGACAACTTGCAAAAGGAATACACCATAAAATGGACGGGGGTGTTCGGGAAAATGAAAGCAAACTTTTGGAACAAAGGTACATGTACAGTGTACATGAACTTGGCCGTTCTTATTAGTTTAAGACCAGCTCAGGAGACTGAACGCTGATAATGCACTTTCCTATGGCTTGGGTATTAGTCGCGACCATTCTCCTGAGCCAGTCTTAAATACAAATACGGTATTTATTCCCTTGCTAAATTCATCACAGAAATTGTACATGTAAGAGGGAGTAAGAGATCCCTGCCAACCCAACTACCTATTGTAATACATACATGTACATACATGTATGCTCCAATCATTCTTATCAGTCAATGTACAGCTACCTGTACATTGTAGGTACCAAATGTTTCAGAAATGTGTGTGTGCATGTATAAATTTGGCAATACAAATGAGAGAAACTTGAGGGGGAGAAAAGGTAAAAAATATAACAAGAAATGCTAAAATTTCCACATTGTTTGCCAATGCTTAAATGTCATGTTTTATTATGCAATTCTGGATAGACTAACGCCTGTACAGTCTATCATCACTTGCGAAATAATCTAATCTAACCTTTTGAAGCTCATTTTGCAATACACTCTCAAAGGAAGTGATGGTAAAAATCCCCATATACATGTACATGTATCTCAGCACTAGTCGTCTTAACCACTTGCTGCCAGGTGGTTTGAAAAATGCAGCGCACATAAGCGGGACTTTTTCAAAATTTTCAGTTTTCAAAATTCTTCAAAATTCATCATTTCAATTAAAACAGTCCTCAATCCTTCACCTGTTGGAGGACTGAGGACTGTTAGGGTTAATGGACGTTTACACCCACACAAATTTCTGTCTGGTGGCCACTCTAGTCTGACGGACAAAATTTATTTCAGCCTGGCCTGCAGCCTTGTAAAAAGAGCCCAGATTGTGTGGTGTTATGTAATTTTCTTTTGTTCACGACCTGGCAAAGTGCGCTGCTAACCTCTTTTCAATAGGGGCCACATTATTGTCATGAGATTGCCTAGCACTTTGGTAGACAAACTAGACTTGCTGGTAAACTCTGTCTTATTCTTATTAACAAGACTGAAGATTCTTTCGCAATCTGCATTGCTGTGGTACATGTACATAACCAGCACTACTTGTGCCAACTTGACTAGTGAAGGATACCTGGCACTGTCAGTTGCTGGTGACTTCAGTTTTGAAATTTCGTTCCATACAGTATCAATCCTTTATGTCATCAAAAACGTCTGCCTGAAATCTTCAGAATTCTTCCTCTACCTGCTCCTTTTCCTGATTTGACAAAAATTGTGGATATCTATCTGCAAGAAGAGCCACTGCTGCACACTGATCTGTTCTCTCTTTGATACATCTTCATTCAACACTTCAGCATTATCCAGCAATTTCTCGTGGAAAGGGTATGCTTTGATCGTGTAGCTACAAGCTGCAACATAATAATTTCGGACACTTATGTAGCGTACTGTACAGTATTAAAAACTTTTTCATATTGCACTCCCGTCCATGTTCCTTGATGTATGTTCGAACTGGTCGTCCAAGAAACAACTCATCATCACTCTTTTGGTTCTTTTCATTCTTGAAGTCCACTTCATAGGCTTTGGTGTGTGAAGCTACTACGTTGCGCTTAACAAATTTGATAAGGAGCTCAGGCAGTTAATTGCACATTACACAATGCAGACGATGGATACATGGCTTCAGTATCAGACTACTGTCTTCAAATAGGGGAAAAAAACAAACAATAAAATTTTTGGGATCAGTCATCATACTAACTACACAGTGAGGCTTGGAATGTGTAGGCTGAGTGTTTGTGAGAGGGGACTTAGAGCTACATGTACATGTTGGCCTTGGAGCAGACAATTTTCCAGCAAATAAAGGTGTAAACTTGGCAAGAACATGAGTTGCACTTCAAGGTTTGAAAGTGTTTGGATTTCTCACAGTCGATGCTGTGCTTTACAATTTTGCATTTGACATCTTTCTTGAAGAGGTTGAAGGTGTTGCCTTGGCAGGGACAGTGGTGTTTTCACACCTTGCAAAGAATGGGTTTCTTGAGGCGGGACAGGACTTCTGTCCATCAGGTATACATAGAGGAATATGAGGTCACTGCTTGAGCTTCTGAAGTAGCCTGAAAAGTTACTGTTGCTGGTTTCGTCTTTTGTTTCTAGATGGCTTGCCAGACAGATGGGGTCTTTAGTTTCTTGATGGCTTGCATGACAAATGGTGTCTTTTGTTTCTTGATGGCTTGTATGACAGATGGCATCTTTTGTTTCTTGATGGCTGACATGAAAGATGGCGTTTTTTGTTTCTTGATGGCTGGAATGAGAGATGAAGTCTTTTGTCTCTTGCTAGCAGGCATGACAGATGAATTTTGTCTTTGTAGGCAGGATTGACAGATGATGTATGTTGTCTCTTGTCAGCTGGCTTGACAGTGAGCGCTGTCCACTAGGTGTTTCCTGATAGTCTTTCTTTTTTGCTTTGAAGAATGGAAGCAATGCATCCAATTGCTCAAGTAGTCTTGTGATGCACATGCTTGAGCATCTTGTGCTGTGAGACTTCTGCTTTCTCTTGGAAAGTCTTGAACTCTTGCTTTCACTTGCTGTTTTTCTCCAGATGATAAAAGATGTCACTCAGCAAGTCATCTGCCTTTACAGGAAGCTGCTTTGCTGCCCTTTCGGCAGCAATGTGCATCAAGTGGCAAGGGCAGCCTGCAACAAAGAAAATCACTCTTACAATACACCGCTAATTTAATGCTCTTTACGTTCAAAATCAAAAAATTTGCGAGCCTGGTGTTTGGATCCTACATGTTTCCCTGCAGAGACCACAGCAGTCAAGTTTCACTCCCAGCCGCTCGACGTCTGACGCAATTCTTGCATTATGTCTTCTCGCTGAACTCCATCACAAGTACAATCGCCTGCTTAATGTCGCCTACATAGACATCAAGGCTGCCTTTGATTCTGTTGACCAAAACCAGCTCTGGGATATCTTCTCCTCAAAGGGAATTTCAAATACATGTACCATTCTGAATCTGATCAAAGCTCTGCACTTCGACACCAAAGCCAAGGTCAGGACAGGCAATGACGTATCCCCCTCCTCCTCAACTTCCTCAGGAGTCTGGCAGGGTTGTGTGCTAGCCCCCACTCTATTATGTGCCGCTATGGACACCATTCTGTCACAGTATAAGGCATCACTGAGGATCGATGTAGGCACCCACAGGTTTACCAACCTCCAATATGCTGATGATGCTGCACCTTTTATTGACAACCCAGATAGACGGGGGCGGGAACATCTTGCAACCTTTGAATGGGAAGCTACGGCCTCAGACCCTCTTGGGCTAAGACTAAGGTTCAATCCCTAGGTGGACCTTCACCGACCCCGGTTTCCCTTGGCCCCAATGTCGGAGATCCTGTTGAGTCCTTTCACTACCTCGGAAGCACTACCACCACCTCAGGTCTATGCAGTACCAATGTCCTACGCAGAATTGGCATCGCCAGCAACATCATGGGCAAATTAGAGAAGCAAGGCCAGCTTCCCCGTCAAGCTAAGGTTCAACTGAGCTTGTGTGCTTTCTGCCCTCCTCTATAGGGCTGAAACCTGGATACTGAGAAAAAGAGATTAACAGTGTCTTCAGGCTTTCCATATGCATCATATACACGTACATGTACTAGGCATCCAGGGGTCTGACTTCATTTCAAATGCCATCATCTCTCAGCACACCAGGCTCGATAACATCGTTTCGGAGGTTGCAGGGAGGCAACAAACTTTGTTTGGTCACGTCCAGCGCCTCCAAGCCCTGGCTCCTGCTCATCTTGCCCTCAATGCAGCCATCCAATTCCATCTTGATCAGCGACCTGCCACCTGGAAGAGGCTCTGCAGCCATACCCATCTCACTTGGCTTAAGCAGGTTGCCGATGCTGTGCAGCTGTCTCCAAATGAGTGCTGGTCCTTTGCTCTTGACAGGGGTGTCTGGAGGTCACTCCGACCCTCTTGATGGTCATGTGCAGAATGCTGATAAAATATTCCTACATGTACATGCATTGTGGCTAAAAACAAGCAAATTGAGTACAAGACTTGACTTTAATGTGAATGAACAAATGTATGTCGTACATGTACATGCATAGTACGTGTACATGCACAATGTACATGCACCCACATATACCACTGGCAGGCCATGTGCTCGCACTTGTGCACGAGTCTGAACATGGCATCAGAAGAGATCGACATCTTTCAGTCGTTAAGGTAAGAAGAACCTAAACAAGCTGATTATTGACAATAACAAAGATTACATGTACATGTAGGTCAACCCTTCCCTTTCAGAAGAAATCAGTTACTTTTTTTCTCATTCTGGATGATACAGTGAGCAAGCAGCGCAAGTCCCGAAATGATTGTATGCCAAGCTCACCCCCATGGACTACCTCATGTAAGCACAAGCACAATATGGCGGCTAACGGTCGCCACGAGAAAGAGGTTGATTACACGAATGATCAATCGCTGGTGAACAAGTATGGCTCCCTGTGTTCATTTTGTTACAAGTTGATAGATATGGTGTTATAGTTCATTATTTATAAGTAAGGAAACCCGCCTGCCGGCATTGATCCGTTCTAATGTCCGAACCATCAGTTCCAGCGTACATGTACATGTACTTTACTGCAGCATATGGAATGGTTGATGAGGGATAAAGTATAGGGAAAAGACTAAATTTTAGCCCTGATTTTATTTTCACATTTTTCGGGATCTAGAATTAAACAAGCGTCAAATTAAGTAGTGCATGACTTGATTTGCACTGCCAGGCCATGCTTGAAAAAATGGGCCATGATTTCACAAATCTGGGTGTGCAAAACACGGCTGCAAGGCATGCTAGCTAAAATGCTGATGTACATGTACATGTATCTTTATATAATTGCGGAATTTTCAGTATTATTTTCCTGGAAAAACTTCTAATTCATGTACCTAATGAACCTTTAATATTTTTGGACCTCCACCTCTTGAAGTTCAGGGTATACAATACCTTGATGGCTATTTCCACATCTTCTTCTTTCATTTTGAACACTTTGTCATATGTTATTTACGAAGAAGCTAAGTTGCTGTATCCCTTGATTTCCTGTTTCAATGTCAACAATGTGTAGTCATCCAGTACATGGACGTTATTGGCCCGGATCTTCTGAGCAACTGAACTCTGATCTTCTGTTTTAACTTGCAGAAGTAAAGATGACCAGTGTCTCTCCTATACGTGTACATGTAGTCCTGGTGGCCATTGGTTACAGCAGTTGTTCCATGGTTGATATGAATTGTATCATGAAAAACCTGCAAAATACAGCGAACAAACAAACATTTCACTTAATACTCAGTCCATACACATATCATGTGCACTACATTGCAATGTACCAGTACACACTTATTTTCAAGCAAACATGAATCCTCAGTTGTTCTTGGTCAATTCATGGCAACAAACAGTTCAGTATACTACATGTACTCTTGTGTATAGTGCACAATCCATATTGCACTCTACATGTACATGTACAATGTACATACTGTGCTGTTCTACGGTAACTCTGCATATGGCTACGTGTACATGGCAGGTTCCTCAAAATATGGACCATTAGATAATGTTCAACTTTGGGGGTTCATTTTTCCTGAAGTGAACACTAGTGAATTAATTTCCAATGTTTGATGTAATGAGGGAAGTCATGGCTGATATCTGGACCAATGATGACCGTGTCAACCTTTCAACTTAATTGGAGTTCATTAATTAAAGTCTCAAACGTTAGCAATTTTGAGGGACATGAACTCCCTGTTAAAATCCGAGCCAACAGAATTGACTGAGGAGTGATAATCCCTGAGGTTAGTTTTCACAGATTTATATGCGGTGAAAGGTGATAATATTTACACATATTAAAACCCTGATCACGAAATTAAAAAGTATTTCTCACAATTAACCGGGTGCCAAAGTCGGCAGTCACGAATGACAACGTCATTCGATTCTGTCATTAGTGTCAAAAAAATTGACTGCAAAAAAAGCAAGTAAAATCCATATACCGATGTACAACACAAGCTTTAAAAAAGGGTGCAATAAAGCACCACCAAACCATCAACCCTTTACGACTGGATGAATCATATTTTCTTCAAGTACGTCCCCAAAAACCACAGTCCAAAATACCGATCGTGGCGATTTTGCGGCTTCCATCAATCTCCTGCAGTGACATTAGAGAAACATTTCACTGCATCGTGGCCTGTTTGACCTTTGACATCAACCCAGATAGTGTGCCCTCTTTTTTATTTGATATTCATGAGCCCCTCCAAGGAATGGGGATGCTCTGCGATTTTCTCTGCGATTTTTCTCTTCGGAACAATTTTTCTCAAAAGAAAAACAATCACTCGGAATGACATTCGCAAAAAAATGACGTTCGAGACACAAAATATGATTCCTGATGAAACTCTAATGTTCAGAGTTGTTAATTTAAATTTTATTTTCAGCGGAGTTACCTCCAAAATAACCGGCAAAATGAAAATCACGCATGGAATTTTCGAGCCCTACATTTGACAGCATTTTGGGCATTCTTGAACGTCATGCAGTTTCTGTCAGAATTTTTGAATGTCATCAAAATTCTGTCTAATATGAGGTTCGCAACGAACATATTGTACTCATTATAAATTTTGAGGCAGCCAAACTAAAAGATAATTTTTGGTAGTCGAAAGATGCAAGACCTGGCAAATATGTTGGTATAGTGACAGTGATTATAAACGGTAAGAGAATGAAGAGAGCTAAACTTTTCTCATCATTTTCCGTCAATTTTGTGCTCTTTTTTCGTGGCTTATATTTTTAAAAGTTATTTCTTAGGTGCTTTAAAAAAAATCAGTCGAAAAATATACTGAATTCTCCTTCTTCTGAATTCTCCTTTGGTGTAATCACTTTGACGTAAAACTTTAAATGAATTCAACTCCATTTGATTTGCACTGGTAGCCAACCAAATATCCACCATAAGTACATGTACATATTATGCCTAATTATCCCCATAATCATTTTTTAAAAATCTGAAGGTGCTAATTTGTATTTTACATGATAAAAGTCACTCTTTTAGAAGTTTTGAAAAATGACATCCAGAGTTGCATTTTGGTCCATTTTATCAAGAACATGCCATATGATGCCTACACAAAATGCAAAGCTGCAGAATTCACTGTAAGTTTAAAGTGCAGCTGCGATGAATTTTTCTGCATCTTGGTAGTTTTCGTCAGTGTATGAAAACTCTTAGACACGATGTCAATAACATTTTAATCGGTGCACCGCCAACCGCTGTGGTGCCCAACAGCACATTTTTCCAAGTCAACTGTTCACTCTCTACATGTGGTGCAGTCTCCAGCTCATTAAATATCCCTATTGTGTATTCGCTATTGTTATGTTAACGAGCAGCATGAATAAGGAAATTCCTCTCTCACACAAAGTGTACTGAGAAGAAATCCCCTTACATGTACATGTACTTCTAACTACCGGTACATTGGATAAATCATCCCAATTTCATACTTTTTTGCCATGGGAACTCGCCCTACAAATCATTGCATACATGTATTCATGTATGCATACGTGTAGAGCACAATAACTGTGGAGGAACGTGTTTGTCAAGTTGTTTGATAAGTCATGACTCGACTGAAGTTCACAGACAGAACATGACTATCTACATTTAACGATTTGTAGACAAGTCTACATTTAAGCCTGCTGGCTCCATGACAGAAACCTGGACAGTACCATTCCCAATTTTTTGTGAACTTCTCCTAGACAACATTTCTCCTCATACCGGTACCTCATACATACCGCAATGTCATCAGACTGAAGGTCAACTTGAATTGTGACTCGCATTACCCTACCCCTAAATGCTGTTATTCGCATTACGTGTGACTCACATTTTCAACTTTCAGTCCCAGATGTGCTATCCTAGGCAGAAAGCCTAGGGTCAGTGTTGTTATAATTTGGTTTAGTTAACACTGGAGGAGGTTTATAATTGTCAACCTAAATATCCCGCTGGTTTTTACATAAAGATGACTTTTCTGTGTAATTTTTGACTCCCGTTACATGTACATCGTCACCTCTACCAGATTCAGTGGGTGTGTTCTGAAAAAGATTAGAATAGGTGGGGAATTGATACACTTATCGATGTTCCTGACCTTGTACAGGGATTCTCCTGACAACTTACATGGATTTACATGTACCTCTCTTAAGTTAAAGCCATATCACCCTGTGGGAACTTACTTAAATACAAATTTTCGGGCATCTCCTGCCCCTCGTCAGGTGCAAATACTTAAATGTGTCCTTGGAGAACAATGCAACGTGCATAGTGTTTCCCTTGATGAGCCGCGATGCGCGGGACCCCCAGGCACGCGTCGATGCGCTTCCAATCCCATGGAAACCAGGGTCTTCCATTTTTCATCCTTCAGCTCTCTATGGCTGTCCGTCCATTCCTCCTTTATGTTTATTTCAGGTTTAAGTTCTTTAATAATGTATATGCTGATTCCATCACCTGCCTCAGCATCGCGTCACTGGGGCTCTTGTTCAATATTTTTACCTCAACTTCTTGAGACTGCCCCTCATGTTTCTTTTGCATGTGTTCGTGCAATGCTGATGACTTCCCCCTCACGTGTTCCTGAACCCTTTCACCAAGTGTTCAAGCCGTTTCCCCAATGTACTTCTCTTCACACCCTTTGCATGTTAACTTGTAACTAGTATATCACCTCCCTCTGTTTGCACTGTCCTTTTCTGCTGTACTGCCGGCACACCATGCACTCGTTAGAAGTCTGTACAGTGTACCAGCACTTGGAACTCTTCAAGTTCTTACTGTTTTAAACTACCCTAACTATACATCTGCCAGATCTCATACCTTTTGTCTGTATCAAAAAATATACGAGTACAACTTATTCGTGTTGATGGAAACATGACATGTGGCATAACCGAAAATGCTGTCATACGTGGATTTCAAAAATTTCATGTGTGACATTCAGTTTGCCACTGGCTTTGTAGATCCCTGCTCAAAATTACATCAAAAGAACTCAGAGCATTTGATTTTCACCTTGAACCATATTTTATGTCTCACACAATTTTTTTTTGAGAATGTCATTTTGTTTCACTGATTTTCTTTCAAGAAACCTCAGTACAAAGAGAAAATCCCACTGTGTCACAATTTCTCGGAGGGGCTCACAAATATTGAATGAAAAAAAAGGTGCACTATCTGGGCTGATGTCAAAGGTCACACAGCCCACAAACAGCAAAACATTTCTGCAATGTTTTGAAATATTGACAGGAGTCCTGAAGTCGCTGTGATCAGTATTTTGGATGTAAACCTCAGTCCAAAATACTGATCACAACGCCTTTAGGAAAATGTTTATTCAAGTTGTAAAAGGATAATACATTGTACATGTACATGTAGCTCATGGTGCTTTCTTGCACTCCCCTTTCTAAGCTTGTGCTGTATACTGTTTTTGAATTGTCAATCATTACTTTCGTTACTTCTGACTTCTGGACCTGGCAATCTGTAAGACATTTTTTTAAACTTTGTGACTGTGATTTTATAATGATCTGTCACCCCCCACAAATGTGTTCTAAAATTACTGCGGGAATTATTACTTCCTGATATTTTTAGATGGCTAGGATTTAAAGGTTGTTCACATTCATCTAATATGATGACATTTGAGAATTTCTTAATCAACTCTGATTAAGTTGAAAGATGAGCATGGTCGCTGGTGTTCCAGATATCAGTCATGACTCCTCTTATTTCATCACAAATTGTGAATTAATTCAATGCTGTTCACTTCAGGAGATAAGAGCCCCCAAATTCATTGTTATGGCTTGTACATTTTGTAGCCCCTGCCTTACAGTATAATGTATGTATACACGTACAGTACATGTCCTTCAGCAGAGTTTGTCCATTTTGCAGTTTGTCTTTTTAACTTAAAGCACATACATGTACTTTTTTGAAGTAAGCTTATGCCAGTTTTAGTTTATTCAAATGAAACGAAAGTAAATGAAACGTAGGTGACAAACACATTTGGTGTGTACCCATACCAGCATATTTCAGTCATAACTTCATGTATGTATTTCAAGTTACATAAATGTATGAAGGTGATTTAAGCACCAATGAACTTTTCTTGATCTGCTCTTTCCAACAATACCAGACTTGTGGTTTTGATGAAAAAAATATACCTCAGTGGCTGGTTTCAAAACAGTATGCTGATGCGCCAAAACATGACGTGGCCCTAACATACATGTACAAGTAGTGCACTTTGAAATTTTGTCTCTAGTGTCTCATTGCAGAAAAAAATTCAAACTCCTAACATTGTGATTCATAAATCTAGATTCTGCCGTCCAGCTACAAAGTTCCAATGAAATTTTATTTTGGTCTGACTTTCAAACTTTTTTGGAAGTGCAAAATTTGCTCTTGAAAATTAAAATATGAAAATAATTTCTGACATCTTTGTACTGGTAGTAGGGTATGATTTATGTTACATAATGATATACCAGAATTATTTAACTTTAAGAACTTCTTTATTGCTAAGACTGAGGGCTTACGTGGAATTTTCTGAGATATCTTCAACTGTGCCATGTTAGGGGACACTTACATTTAGTCAACTTGTAATAACTTGTACAAAAGTTCTGGAGTGCCATCATGTATATCTTTTCAAAAAGTGAAGTATATGTTTTCAAAGTTCACTTTTATGAGATATTTTCCCAAGTTTGTTCAAGATATGAATTCCACAGTTCATTCCCGTAAGATCTACCGTTTAAATACAAAAGTTGTTTTTTGGGGGGGAAACAAATTGTTTTGTAAGATAAACGTGTATTTTCCAAGTTTATTTTTAGAAGATTTTCTTTGTAAGTTTTGTCTTTATGAGTTATATTTTTTGAAGTTGGTTTTCATGAGAAATAAATCCAAACCTGATAATGCATGTCTTCTGAAAATTAATTTGGAAATATCTCAAAAAAACCCAAACTTCAGCAAACATATATCTCGAACAGTGTTCCAGCTACATGTACATGTACATGTATGTACCGGTTGGTGATGGTCAGTGATCTCCATCACAGCATTCTACAGTCAGGCACTAAGCTTGATGAAACAGCCCTTCGGCTGGAAAAACATTAACCACTATGAAAATTTCAAATTTATACATATACCCGGAGGAACGTTTGGAAAGAGTTCCACATACCGTACATGTATGCACACTCAATGCCCCTGTGCACAAATGTACTATGAGACTTGGCTGAAAAAAAAAAAACTAAATGTAAGCTTCAGAATTTTCCTAGCTAAATTTCATTTTTATGACATGTCATCATTTTCCGATGGCCATTGTAACATTTTGAGGGAAAATTAGTGTTGTTCATACCATGTTCAAAAGGCGACTCGTTTAGTCAAAGTTACTCGGACTGGAGAGTACATGTACATGTACATGTAATAGGAGACACTGTGTATTCTTTGTCCCCGATTTCCCAATTTGTTTGAATTTCTGCCGAAGTTTAATGACACTGTCACTGAAGTTGTCACAGAGGTTCAGAAGTTTGTATCATTAACTAAATGTAAGTAGATTGAAGTTCTTCAACAAAGAGGTTTGGCAACACAGTCTATGATGAAATTTAAGCGAACGTCGAAGTACATGTACATGTACGTACTCGTTACGCCACGTTAACAGCTAGGGATACTTTACGATTTCAGAGAACTTCTCCATATTGGGAGATTTCTCCCGATATGGAGAAAAATATACCCTCTATTGGGAGACCTGTCTCCTGATCAGGAGAAATGCAAACAGAAATGATGCTGGCGCCCTCTATAGATCAATGGCGCAAGTTTTTGACCTCAGGTTTGAATTCTACAGCAAATTTTAGCTAGGGGTCACGAGAGTTGCAGAAAACTTTACCATGGAGTTTTCAAGACATTTATATCTTCAGATTAAATCTGTGGGGTACATGATAAAGGCAATAGGCCAAGACCTATTAGGCCTACATGTTGTACATGTAAATTTTGACATTTTGGGCCTTTGATTCTTAGAAATTTTGCTAAGTTTGTAACTGTTCATGCCCTATCCGTAGTCCTTCCACCATTATGGTCCTGCTAGAAGTAACAAAAGTTTCTACTAAAGAAGGGCAGCATTGTGCTTAATTAGGACATGGTGGTCGATTACTCTTTTTGAGTTGTTTCTCAATACATGCATTTTATTTTCCTGCAACATGAAGTTTGTTTGAATGACTCATAAATAAATACTCAAAATACATGTATCTCAAAAGGGAACAGGGATACTATTTGTTTGGCAGGTAACATGCATTAATTCATCACTCTTGGAAATTATAAAATGTGTTTTGAACTTACAAAATCATACATGTTATGTCAGATGAGACAGCAACATGAAAAAAATTAGACCCCTAATTTCTGAAATAACTAACATGTACATGTATGTAAGGTGGGTATGAACCGGCTAACTGGGTGGAGGCAATGTTCTGTAGTTTTGTATCATGGTCATACTTTTTTCCATTTTTATGAACATACATGTACATGTACAAGCTGCACATGTACACTGACAGCAGGGCTTAGTTGCCAAAGTACATTTTTCAAAAAATATTAAAAGTTACGGCAATACCCAGTGCAGGAATAGTTTTCCCGCTTTAGTGCATGCTTAGCCCCAAGATCTACGGACTCCTTGCTCTACTTCTCTGCTCCAAGAAAGGTAGTGAGGTGTGTGCATGTACATGTACATGTATGTGCACCCTTAAAGAGGAGATGGGAGTAAAACAGGTAATGCTTGTGATAATGAAATTCATGATGAAAATACATGTACATGAACATGTAGATGGCACCATATTTGTATGTGTACACGTACAGATAGTTGCACAAAAAAGTATTCTTGCAAGTAGTTCACCCATCATGCCCATTATGAATGTTCAGGTCTTGACTTCCCTTTAAAACCAGTGTTGCTTATGAAATGGGTGGCAGATTCAAATTTCACATCTCTTTATCGGTAAAATTTTTACAAAATATAAAGTTGTATAAATTTGATGTTACATGTAGGCTTCTGCTCAACAAGAACCAATGCCACATTTTTCAAACGCTGTGGCTGTTGTTATGGCAGCTGTAACACATATCCCATTTTCTATCATTACGACACTGCAACTATGCAAGCGCGCCAACTTAAGAACAGATTTCGGACTTTATTTCCATTTAAAAAATCCTCCAAAGCCGATGAGAAAAGAAAAAGATTCCTGCTTAGGCCTACACAATTAGAAACCAAAATAAAAACAAGTATGATATAAAACATGAAATTTAGGCCAAAAAAAATAAAATGGTCGAAACGCGGATTTGAACTCACACACCAGTGGTTCGAAGCCTTCCACCTTGACCACTCAGCCACAAGCGTTCAGCAATCCACTTAATTTTAAAATATATAAATCATCGTAATGATCAGCTACGTCATTGCGCTTGCGCAGTTCATTGCTGTAACAACAGAAACTGAGAAATGTGTTACGACTATCGTAACGATAGCCACTTCATTGGTCAAAAAGTTGACAAGGAAAATAAGTACACTTGCGAACACTATACAATTTAATTAAATGAATTGGCATTGTAGGTATACATGTATGTTTGGTGTGATCAGCTGAACTGTACAATAATTTAAGTTACAAGTCCAGCACAACTGCATGAACCTCCAACTTCACATCCTTTTTTGAAACAATCTCTCACAACCTTAAATTAAAAAGGCATTGGCAGATCCTGGAATTGTCAACAAATCGTGCAGTAAGATTTACTGGTTGTGCAAAGATCAAGTGACCAAGCGTATCAATCAACTGCACCTAACATATGAGGCCAATCTAATATGCACAGGAGTAATTAGTTTGTGATAGCTTGACAATTGTGGCCCAAAAGTAGGCTACAGCTTTACAAGGTAAAGTCAACAGGTGCCTGAAGTCTATCATCCTTTCCTACATGTATATGTACCGCGATGCTTGCATGGCTTTCAGGTACTGGCATTAGTGTTTCACGTGCCTTGTACATGTACATGTATTTCAAGCAACAAATGTACAACTTAACTGCAAAACTGGCATATTGAAAGCAAACCAGATTTATAATGAAAGAGTTAAACTGTTGGTATTGCAATGACTGTCATTTCTCATACATGTTAAACTAGTACATGTAGGCCTACATCATGTACATTGTACCCCTCCTTCCTCCATGATTGTACATCATCATGTAACTGTATCAGCCTACAACACTTAGGCCTAGCATGTTTAGCCTACATTCAACCCCAGAGGCCTACCTATGTCTCTTCAAATGTTCTCCCAATAAGGACAACACTTCAAGTGGGACAGTTTGTCAGGTTTCTTTTTCTCCTGATCAGGAGAATTCTCCCAATATGGAGAAGTTCTCCAAAATTGTAAAGTATCCCAGCTCTGGTTAAGGGACTTATTGTCAATGTACCGGTATACTGTATACTACCAGAGCGTTGGTTACAAAACCGTCAGTAACATGGCTACGGAGGTACATGTACATGTAGCCTACATGTACTGGTTTCCAGGTGAGGAGTAGAGTAAGCCCAACTTACTTAGCCTACCTCTTCAGTGAACATGGTAAAGAACAGACAAGTTGAAGTGGAAAACTCACAAAAATGCAGTGCAACAAGCTTTGACGGTAACATCAGCAAGTTGAGGTGTATAAACAACGGATGTCATAATATTGCATAGGCCTACATCATACATGTACGTTGACAAATGTACATGTACATGTACATGCACTGTACTTGTCAGTGTAACGTTGCCCCAGATGGGGGGAGGGCAGTCTGCTGAACTCCCTCCTCCGTACTATGCTCGAGCCCACAGCGGTCTCCAAAAAGTGGAGACTCCGCAAAAACGCCTTCTATGCAACCCCTTTTCCGTTTATGGATCACTCACCCCATCAAACCATCGACGTAAAAATATGGGCGAATTCCAGTTTGCAGGAGTCCGTGAAATTTTGGTTTCGATTCCCGACCGCACCGTTGACTCACCAATGCCAAATACAGTCAGGATCTGTTTGGTCTGGGAACCAGATCTGCAGACAGCGTTATTACGTAGATCCCCAGAGCATGACATAACCAAAGAACGTAAATGAATGATGAACCAAAATATACTATGCTTGGGAGCGAGTGTGAACTCGTTGTCGGACACTTATCGGGCGTGAGGAGCGTACACGACAACGGGTACTTACATCGTTCGCTCGTTCAATCCCCGTCCCGCACGCGTCCCGCACAATGATGACGCTCCCCGCCCCAAAATGTTCTGATAAGCGCTAGGTACTCAAACTATGTGTAACGTTACGGCTAGCCCCAGACTGGGGGCCAGTCTACTGGACTCCCTCCGTATCCTTGTGCCCGTAACAATCTCCAAAAAGTGAAGACTCCGCAAAAACGCCTTTTATGAAACCCCTTTTCCGTGTGTGGATCACTCACCCCATCAAACCACCGACGTAATAATATGGGCGACTTCCAGTTTGAAGAAGTCCGTGAAATGATGGTTTCGATTTGGACCATTCGTTTTATACTGCAGTGATAAACTCCCGATCGTTTACCGATGCCAAACACTCAGTTAGCATGCATTTGGTCTGGGAATCAGACAGCGGCCGGCGCGGCGGCGTAATTTTTTCCCAGGAAGGTTAGGGGGTAAAATGGGCGTTTTTCATCTAGGGGGGTCACAAACTTTTAAGTATAAGACACAACAAAGTTGCTTCTCTAGCCGATTTCCATGCCAGTTAGGAGAGCGTTACACTTAGATCCAACAAGCCCGAGGGGTCGATTCTATGTGTATTATTTTTTCTTGGTGGGGAATAGTTGGTTGGAGGATGTTTTATAATAGGAAAGAAAAGTCCAACATTTACCCAAGCACTTAAGTTCATAAGTGTCTACCAAATTGATCAAACTAGCAGTTAACCACGCTTATATATGATTATTACCCTAAACATTCCTGGGAAAAAATTACGTCCCCTTAGGCTGGCGCACCCAATCAGTCAGTAAAACGATACACGTACCCACTGATCATCCCCATTCTTAATTGATCTCCATTATAATGAAATAGTATTAGAAAGGACAGTCCTAGTCATTACTTCCCCCTATACCTACCCGACGGAAAAGTGGCATGATCCCCCTGTACCTACCCGACCCCCTCTCAAAACCCCCCAATTTCTTAAACCCCAAAAATGTTCACCAACCTCTGTCAATTTCAGTTGGGTATATACCCACAAAGTTTTTAATCGCTTCATAACCCAAAAAATTGATAACACTACTTACAAAAGACAATGTTATATAATTACCTGCCATCAGATGTAGAAGAGTTTTATAATTTAATTAAAGTAAAACCCCCACCAGAAGCGTATGTAAAAACCAAAGAAGACACATGCCCGCACATTAAAGAATAGAAGACGGGATTAGATTAGATTAGATTAGATTAGATCACCGGATACAGCCCCCCCCCCCAAAAAACCAATTACTGAAATGTAACAGTGATTTTGCAAATGAACTGACCTATTTTTATTGTAGATTTGATAATTATGATTTTTCTCGGTAAAATGAATTCTTGAAAGACTCTTTGAAAATCAGCGCTCATCAGGACACTACTATTTTAATAGATGAGATTGATGTACGAAATGTCTTTTTTAGGCCTGAACATTAATAAGGCCTCTGGACCAGATGGTGTAGGTAATCAGATTTTGAAGACATGTAGCTATCAACTCTCTGGTATTTTTACAAAAGTATTTCAAAAATATTTCATCTGACTTTAGATAGAGGGGTCACTCCGCAGTTGTGGAAAACCTCGATCTATGATAGTTACTATCCCGAAAGGAAGTAGGGCGTCAGTCTTGAACGACTACCGCCCCGTAGCTCTGACATCAAACATTATGAAATGTCTGGAAAAGTTTGTTTTGAATTTTCTTCTTAGAGATGCAGGTTCTTATTTGGACAAGTTTCAATTCGCATACCGGAGTAACGGGGGGTTGATGATGGGATACTCGTTTATCTTCATAAACTGTACAGTCATTTGGACAAGTCAAAATCTTATGTTAGGTCTATGTTTATTGATTTCTCTAGTGCTTTCAACACGATTAGTAGTAGGGATAGGACAGTTCTGGAGCACCTCCCCTTTCACCCTCTTTCCACCACCCGCGCCGGGGTTTCCCACTTCACTCACCTTGACCTTTTGGCCCTGGCGCACTTTTTTGTCAATAACTCGCGGCGTGCGCCGGCCTGCACAGACCTCGCACAAACAACCTAGACCTTTAACCCCGTGACTCTCAAACAAAGAAAAAGGGACTTCCCCTCGCTTTTTCGGCCTGAACTCGTGACTTCTCACAGTTTACAACCGCCTTAAATAAACGGACTATATATAAAAATAACAATATGTAAAAAAAACATGTCAAGTCAAATCGTTAGAAAAAAACGAGAAAAAATAAATAGAAATTATGTAAAAGGATATGGTAGACCATAAAACAAACGTTAATTGTTATTTCTGCAAAGACACGAGAAATTCGATCGATTTGGTAGATCCGTACGATTGCGTTCGTTGTTTAAATTCCGACCGTTTGTTTCAATGTACCGATTGTAATGCCACGATTGCCACAAATGTAACGACTGCGCCAGATGTAATAACTGCTCCACTTGCGACGATTGCGGTAGATGTATAAATTGTGTGGTTTGTTTTAATTTATACAACTGTCAAAATTCAAATGCCTTGGACAGTTGCGAGGATTGTTACGAGTGCAGCAATAGTATCGAATGTTTTGGTTGTACATATTGCACCTGCTGCTTAAATTGTGTCGAGTTGGAAGGAATGGATCACGTGGTGCTCGTAGACGGTAGCATAAAAAGCTTAGGCACCCTGCGCAATCATTTATTTGTCCAAAAGACGTATACTACGGTACCCAAGGTTCACTGTCTTGCGGCGCCAGCGTTAGGTATGTAGTGACAGCGGCAATGTTGAAAATTAGAAACGACGGGCTAATTTCAAATAAGTCCGCTTTGCGAGCGTTTAGCATATATGAATCTCCCGTGAAATTGAAAGCCGATTAAATTACGAATCAATTGATCTTTGGTTTGGTACATCTGAATTTGAATTTCTCGTGTAAATAAAAGTCGATTGAACCTGGGTTATTCTTCGGAATAACTGAGGTTGTTTTTCGTCACTCGTTCCTTAAATAAATAAACAACATATAAATAAAAATGACATACGCAGAGATTTGCCACCTACTCGGTTACGAACCTAAATGGCCAACCCCAGCACCACGACCAGAAAAAACGTGTGAACACGACATATTTGAAATGGACTAAGGATATGTATGCCGACATTGCGGTCTAATTTTTGGGTGGGTTCCTTCATACACCCCTAAAGAGATGGGAGATAGATATTACCATCACCACGTTTGGAAAAAAAAAACACACGAAAATCAGAGAATACTTTGAGAGAACTTAACATTGAATTGCCCAGTGAACAATCGAGCCGCATCGAATACGTGTTAAATCGAGTTTTAGATGGTAAGATATCCAGAGGAAGACCGTTGAGGGCTTTAATCGCGGTATGTTATCAAGAGGCAACCGCGCAGGGCGATATAAAAGTAAAAGATTTGTTCCAAGTTTCAGATAAGTATTGGAAAAACGCCGTCGAAAAATTAAACCCCGCAAAACAAGATTTCCAAAAACGTATAGATTGCTAGACAAGATTTCTCAAAACGTATAGATTGACCAAACAAGATTGTTCAAGAAAACGTATATAATAAAATGGAGACTCACACGTTTTACTTAACCGAGAGCGAGCAGAAGTTCGAATTGAAAGATGTTATTAAAAACACCAAAGGCGACAAAGTGGTCCGAGTAAAGAATATTCAGTTTGAAGCTGGATATTTTAACGTAACAAACGCGACTGAAATTGAGTGGGATACAAACTTGGACGGTAGGCACGTGGGCCCATGGCGAACGACCGCCTGGAATACCTTCAAAGGAAAGAACGGAAGTATCTTCCAATTCAGAATTAGTACAAACAGCTGAACCCAGATTAATACGAGAAAATAAAAAAGGCACTTTAGCAGAAGAAATCAGAATCATTGCTGAGGAAATTGAGCAGCTAAACCAAGAAATTGCAACTTTAGAAGAGCAGTTAAACCCAAGACAACCTTTAGAAACGCGTGCTCGTTTAGCTTATGATATTGACGATAAAAAAGTCAAATCAGTTTCATTGCTCGAGAGGCGGAGACAAGCCTTGGATGAAATTTATGAAGGGAATCCCCAACTGGACCTACCACAAACTCCCCCGTACAACCCACGAGACCCAAAATAGAATTAACTAAAAGACTTTTTTGACGGGGCTAAGGGAACCTATATACGATAGACTTCATTCTAGAAGCTCATCTCAACCATTACCCGAGGGTCAAAGAGGAAGCATCGTAGTATCTCTCGGTTATTATAACATGGACTGGTTTGACTTTTTGTTAAACTCGATCCCAGGCGTTTCTTTTAAGGTTCACTCAGAATCTAAAAGGGTGACTTTGGCCATTACGGACCCCAATCTGAAGTTGCGACTAAATAAAGAAGTACCTAAGCTATTAAACTTACCCAAAATAAAACTTTTACCCAACGTTATTTATGAAGGCAAGTATGATTTAAACCACCTTCAAACTAGCGTTTATTCATCGCAAACAATTAAATACATTTGACATGATAGCTACCGAGCCTTGCACCACAACACCCGTGACGTGTAAAACGCCTAAAAAGTTAACACACACAAACATCAGTGAATTGACTTTTTCTGTTAAAAACGATCGAGGTGAGCTCTTGAATAATATCGGCAAAATTTTAATCGAGTTAGACATTTTTAAAACGCGTATATAATAAAAAAGATGA